GTCACCTTCTTTGTTAAGAGTCCCTAACTCTTTCAAGCATCCCCTCCTCTGACTCCCACAGCACTTTCTTCCACCACAGCACGCATTACAAGCCAACTACTCACCAGTTCGTTTTCTCTCGCACTAGCCCAATCACACTGAGTTCCTAAAGAACCAGAACTGTGTTTTACTGGCCTTTGCAGCCTCTGCACTCACAATGGTGCTTGATACACAGAATGCGGTTAAATAAATGAGTTTTATTCAGTCAATGAGCGACCCTCCCTGCTAAACCAGCACAATTTATAAAGCCGACTTGCCCCCAACATGTCACGTGGGTAAAAAACCATACCTCAGGCATATCCAAGTCCTCATGTTCCCAGCCTCTATCCATGGAGCTCTGCACAGCTCCCTGTGCAGAACCACCAAAGCTTACACACGGTAGACCCTCAAAAATAAAAGTAATGATAATGATAAGGTACAAACTAAAGTCGCCCTTGCGGGGAAACACGACTAAGGCCGTAGCCAGGGCTCGAACCAAACAGTCGCGCAGGAGTCTGCATCCCCTTTCCGAACTCCTAAAACTCCTATGCCCTGGACTCCCTCAGGAAGCCCGCGAAGGATGAAGGCAGCCAACCTCTGCGGCTTTCGGTCCCGGGCCATACCTGGTTCCCGCGTCCCACTCTCCTCTGCCTCGCTGGCCAGCCCGGGTCCCACTGCCCAGGGCGTCACTCTCCAGGCAACCAATCCTACGGCGGCCTTCAGGTCACGTGGGCTGCCGGGAGGCTGGTGCGAGGAGCAGCCAATCGGAGGCCGGGGCGAACGTCAGGGGTGGAGCGAGCGGGACGGCGGACTTACCCTTAGCGTCGCGTCGCTTCTCTCGTCACGGCGTCTATTGTGCGAGAGAACCCAGTCGCTTCCCGTATTCTGAACAATTGTTTTCTTTTCTTTTTTCTTTTTTTCCTTCCCCTGCACAATTTCCAGCCTCGGACGTCGGGGCGACTGTTAAGCAGAGTGGTTTTGCCGGTGCCTAGTGTCACAGCTGAGACCCGGCATCTGAGGCGGGATCATGGCGTGCGTGTGCCCCGGGCTTGCGGGAGCAACCGTGGATTCCGACAGCGATCCCACAGTGCCATCCCACAGCATTCTTTGCGCTTGTCTCGGGCTCCGGCCTGGGGGCTAGGGATTGGCGGGGACTGACAGATGAAGGCTGGTCCCTCCCTGTCCGGAGGGGAGAGAACTCGTTGGCTGGCCCGGCGCTTGGACGTTTCCTAAATAAGCAAAAAGTGCCACGAAGAAAGCCCAGCTAAATATCAAAGAAGTGCGGAGGCGAGCAGCAGAGGCTTCCTGGGAGTGGTGGCATTTCATCTGGGGCTTGAAGGATGTGTGGGATTTGAAAATTAGGAGATTCTGGTAGCAGGGATAATTTAAATTCCAGAAGTAGCTGAGAAAGCATAAGGGAGTTTGCTAAAATTAGGTAAAGTTGATACAGTTGGTGCGTGTGAGTTAGAAACACATGGAGGAACCTGTTAACAGTACAGATGTCACCCAACGTAACAAGCAAACAAACCCCCCCAAAATGCCTGGGGCATAACCTAGACCTGCTGAATCAGCAGATACTTTGGGGTTGGAGCCCAAGCATATTATCTTTTAAAAATGAGTCCTAGGGGTGATTCTGATTTCACACCAAAGTTAGAGGGCCAGTGTTAAAGAAGGCTGGTGGTAGGAGAATGGAAAGATAGGTAAAGGCTTTGTTCAGGATAATAGCTGGGTGGCTACATAGTTCAGGCTACTCTGGAAAAAGTGGAAGAATTGAAGATTTCAGAGGACAAAAAGTTAGATGATCAGAGCTGTACTTTAGAAAACTCAATCTCCAACTGTATTTAGCTTGGAGGGATGCAGAGAGTGAAAATGGAAGAAGCTAGCTAATAAGGGCCTAAATTAGACTTTAGGAATGGAAATAGATGGCATATGAAAGGTATGAGGATGTGTCAAATAGGAATGGGTAAAAGGACATGAAGAAATAAAATGGAGAGACTTCAGTATCAGACCTATTAAAAGACCTCCCTTGTGCTTTAAGGATAGGGAAGGTTAGACAGTAAAGAGAATATGCCTTAGCATGTATTATTTCATCCACCTAGTTTATCTTTTTCTCCCTTAATTTCCCTTTCTCAACCTGGTGCATTCTTACTTACAGGTTCCAGCTCACATATCATCTCATTTAGAAAATCGTTTCTGATTCTCAGAAACATAATTATTGCCACTCCTCAGAACACCTAGACCACACTGCTCATACATTGCAAACTCTCCAGAGTGGCACTGGGGTATAGTAGTGGTCATGCACATGGACTGTATTGGCAAGCAACTTAAACTCTTCCCCAGTATCCCCATCGGTAAAAAGAGGATAATGATAGCATCTATCTGATAGAGCTGTTTGTTAAAAGATGAATTCAATGAGAATAATGCCTAATACATAAGAGTACTCAATTGATGTTATTATGTATGTTGTGCTTTTGTGAGTTGTTTAATAAATCTTTTCCCTCTTTAGATTGTGAATGGAACAGGGGTCTTATTCTTCCAGCTAATAGTAAAGCCATCTGGCAGAGAGTAGATGGGCTTTAGACTCAGACCAATGATCAGATCCCAGCTCTGCTACTTACTAGATGTATAACCTTGAGCTTTACCTCACTTAACTCAGTTTCTTCATTTACAAGGTCACAAAAATAATGCATATCTTGCAAGTTGTTATGAGGATTATATAAGAGAGTGAAAATTGCATATTTGGCTCAAGGAAGGCAGTCACTAAATGGCAACTTTTATTTTGATGTGTAGTCCCAGAGCATAGCACTATGTTTGGAACATAGTAAGTGCTCAATAACTGATTATTGAATGAAAAGCTGACATTATATGCTCAGCACCATGTTAAGCAGTTTATGTATTTATCTCACTTCATTCTGACAAGTGCTCTATGGGGAAGGCACTAGTATTATCTTCAATTTACAGAGGAGGGATTGAGACTTAGAGTAGCTTAAGCAAGGTCTCATAGCTAGAACGTGGCACCGCTAGGATTTGAACACCAGAGGAACTCCAAAATAGCTGATTGAATAAAGAGAGGAAATTTACCCAGAGTTAGGTAGTGGCAACATGGTGGATCCAGGACTGTTGCTCTTGGTCACTATGCTATTAATACTCTTCGGATCGTGTCTGTGTGAGATGGAGGCACATGGGGGGTTGAGACCATCTTTTCCCCTTCAGCTTGTAGTTGACAGTTTGTATCTGGTAAACATGCAGGCTGTGTATAACTACCACTGCTGATAAACCAAAATGCTTAGTGAACGAACACATCTTAAATAAATTAGGGGTTCTGGTTCTTAGCCAGTCATCAACAGTATGGCCATATAGTTTTCCTAAGATATGGGAGAAAGCACTGTCCCAGCTACTGATTTCAAGCTGTTTTGTATTCAAACATTTGCTTTAGAGATGTCAAAGCCAAGATGTGAGATCCTCCCTGGCCTGACAACCTAACTATACATATTCAGGAGACTTAACTAAGGAGTTTTAAAGAAGGAAAAGAAACCCCACTGCTCATGTTCCACATTAATTCTACCCCTTTCTCCTGATTTGGTCCCCCAGAAGAATAAGATAGGAACAGCAATTTGGTTCCTAGTTCTCCTGCCCAAATTATGTTATTAATGTTTACTGGGAAGAAAAAGGTAGATAATTAGGGAGATTTCTGATTTTGAAGGCTCTCAAACAATCCAGAATCCCAAACTAAAAGGGCAATGAAAGGATGGGAACCTTTGAATTAGACAGACCTGGTTTTGAATTTTCTCTATTCTACTTACTGGCCATGTAATCTCAGTGTGTAGAGCTCCCAGCATGGTCCTTTGCATCCAGTAAGCACATTGCCAGTAAATGGTGGTCATTTTTATCCTTCTCAAAGTAAGTCATAGCAGAGGGATTTAAATGTGAAAGTGAGGCTGAGAGTTAAGCTACTTGGGAGGACTAAAAGTGGGACTGGATTCAGAAATGACATGAATGAAAGAGGGTTAAAACCAAAGCTGATATCAGGCCTTTGGAGCTTATTGTGTAGCTGTGCTGATTATATACCATAGTATCCATTCTGCCTCCTATCCTGGAAACTCCATTTGGGCAAACAGGTACAATAGTAATGCCAACAAAGCAGGATTTTGTAGGGCCAGTAGCCTCAGTGGACAACAACAGCAACAAAAATAGGGATGCTCAGAGACATATTTAAGAATGTCATTTCATCATAAACAAATGGAAGTAGAAACACAGAGTTGTTTGCTGAGAGAAGTATATTAGTTTTCTGTGGCTGCCTTAACAAATTGCCACAAACTTGATGGCTTGAAACAGCAGTTTAAAACTTAAAACTTTTATATAGTTCTTTTACAACTTGAAGTTCAATATTAGTTTCATTGGGTCAAAATCAAAGTGTCTGCAGGGCCATATTCTTCCCAGAAGTTCCAGGGGAGAATCTGTTCCTTGTCTCTTCTGGAGGCTGCTGGCATTCCTTTGCTTGTGGCTGCATCACTCCAATCTCTGCCTTTATGATCACATTGCCTCCTCTTTTGTGTATATCAAATGTCTCTCTGTCTCTCTCCTGTGAGAACACTGTGATTAGATTTAGGACCCACTGGAAATCCAGGATAATCCCAATCTCCCCAATTTAGGATTCTTAATCACATCTACAAAGACCTTTTTCCTTATAAAGGAACATTTATGGGTTCCATGATAATAATAATAGTAATAATAATAAGTGGCCTTTATTTGGCCCACTATAAGAAGCTTGACCCAGTTTAGTCAGCATCAGATAACTGACTCTCATCTGTTTATTTTTACCATTTAATTGTTTTTAATTATAAAAGTGATTTATGCTTATTGTAAAGCTTTTTTAAAAACATACAGAACAGTTAAAAAAAATAAAGGGAAGAAAAATAAATTAAATGAACTATCTTCTCTAATCCAGGGATAGCCAGCTGCTACTCTATCAGCATTTTTCTAGTCTGGGTCTTATGTCCATCACAAAGGAAAAGTAGGAAAAAGAATAAAAACAGAATATAACAAGTCATTCGGAAGGTAATGAAATAGGTTAGTATTGTTCACAATGAATATGTACCAGACTTCCAAATTTAAGATAAACACAGAGCTTCGCAAACAATTAACCAGGGCAGAAAGTGCATGGATGATATATGGAAATGATGCTCTGTCCCTTAGCAGTGCTAAGTTTAACATTGGCCTCTCACTTGAACACCCCTGTATTTTCCCATTGCTACCTCATTCACTCCCTGAGTTCAGACCCTGGTCTGCTAATCTGCACTGTCATGGGCACTTCTTGAGTCCTTATCAGTCTTCCTCAGTGGGTCAATGTTATGAAGACTGGGGGAGTCTGGCAGAGTTCCTGCTCCTCCCAGGCCGATATCAAAGGGCAACAGGGACTGTGACAGAAGACAAACACCCAGACTAGAGCCAGATGTGGAACTGAAGCAGCAAGAGGAAACACACGAGCATAGGTAAAAAAAAAATTATTTTAAAAAATCTCATCCGTTTCATTTTAGCGACAGTTTATGTCCGAGAGTATAAGGGCTTAGTAAAATAGGACTTATGTAAAAACTTGTAAAGAAAAATGAGTCAAACCTTCTGGGAAGTGTGGAAAGGATGTTCTAGAGCTAGAATCTCAGAAAATATTGTATTTATCATAGCTGTTATCAACACTCGAGTAATATCAATGAGACCACAGGGTCTACTCGTACAAAATCAATTAGATTTGTTCTGTGGGTCCCATCAGTGGAAGTCATAGGGAGACAAATTGCAGCTGAAAGTAAGGAAGCCATTTCTAACAGAGCTGTCAGAAATAGAAAGGACAACTTTGATACTGAGTTGCTCATTACTGGAGGTTCAGATAGCAATTCTTTGGGAGTTGGGAATATTATAGAGGCGATTTAAGATTCAGATTGTTGGACTGGAACATCTTTAAAGTCCCTTCCAACACTTCTGTGATTCTATGATATAAATAGAATGTTAGGAGAAAATTCCCATAAAATACCACACTTACATGTACCTCTAGAAGACGCTCACCTTCTAAAAAACAAGAATTGTTTTCCTGCAGGAATTGAGAAGATAACCAAGAACAAACTATCATCAGAGGAGTGTGCAGATCCTGCCGGATGCCTGCTTTTTCCCTTTTGGTGAGTATATACAACACCTACAGGGCTCCTGCTTTGCAAAGCAGAGAAGAGTTGGGTTCCCTTCTAGAGGAAGAATTTTGGTTTGAGTTAGCAAATATTTTGTTATGCAATTAAACATAGATAAGGGGATCCTTTCTGAATTATTTGCTTCAGAGATCTAATTCCAAATTAAGTGGCTATTCTTTGATTTATGAAGCAAAAGAAGGGTTGGCCATAGTTTGATGACCATGCCTCAAAAGTTCACGTTCTTTTCCAAATCTTAGAGGTTCCCACAGCACAGGGCAGAACTATTAGGGAGAAGGAAAACTCCTCCTCCCACATCACACTGTTTATAAAGAAATGTACTTTTAAAATGAAGAATTAAAAAGATTTATGAATTTGATATCAATGGACATTCAGGAGTAGAATAAAACTTTTCAAAATGTATAAAATAGCACATAAAAATACCAAAATTTATATTTGTTTTTAAGCAAGATCTTCTACAGGACATATACTACAAAACTATACTTCCTTCGTTCTCTAGCACCGTCCTTTCTTTCCCCTTTGCATTATGAATAGGAGCGTCTTCTGCCTTCTGCATATTTTCCAATAACTTACCTTGGTTCCTTTGCCAACCCATGTCCTTTATATCTGGGCCCAGTGTTAGTGTTTTGCTTTGTTTTTTTCTTTTTCTTTGTTTTTTTTTGTTTGTTTGTTTGTTTGTTTTTTTGGTTTTTTTTAGAGACAGGATCTCACTCTGTCACCTAGACTGGAGTGCAGTGGCATGATCATAGCTTACTATAAACTTGAATTCCTAGGCTCAAGCGATCCTTCCACCTCAGCCTCCAGGGTAGCTGAGACAACAGGCATGCATTACCATGTCTGGCTAACTTTTTAATTTTCTTTTTTTGAGATGGGGTCTTACTCTGTTGCTCAGGCTAGAATGCAGTGGCATCATCGTAACTCACTGCAACCTCAAACTCCTGGGGCTCACATGATCCTACCTCACCCTCCCAAGTAGCTGAGACTATAGGCACATGTCACCACACCTGGCTAATTTTTTGTTTTTTGTAGAGAAAAGTCTCACTGTTGCCCAGACTGCTCTTGAACTCTTTACCTCAAGCAATTCTACCATCATGGCTACCCAAAGTGCTAGAATTACAGATGTGAGCTACCATGCTTGCCCTGATTTTTTAATTTTTGTAGATACAGGGTCTTGCTATGTTGCTCAGTCTGATCTCCAACTCCTGGGCTCAATCAATCCTCTTGTCTCAGCCTCCCAGAGTCCTGGGATTATAGGAGTGACCCCTCACACCTGGCCTCAGTGTTAGTGTTTCTTGATCTTAAATGGAAAATGGATGAAAAAGTCAGCGTTGCAATTTTTCCATTATGGGAAAGTATTAAGCATTCACCTTTATCTATGTCTGTTCAAGCTGGAAAGGCTAAGGATATTTGCCAAATTGGTTAGAAAACAGTACTATCAAAGATGACTTCCAATGTTAAAATATATCTCCAGTAATTGATAGCTTTGAAGAAAATATAATATTGTAATCTCTGGAATTCTTGTTAATGTAGAAACAACATTTCTGTTCTGGTTATAGGAACTCCTTTCTGTTATTGTTTGGAGCACAGAGGGGCTGCTGAGATGGAGGGTCCCAAGACTGATACAGAAATGCCATATCCTGAGATGATAGTAGAAGTGGGCGGAGTCACTTTTGGAGAAGAAAACAGGAAGAAGATGACCAATAGCTACTTGAAAAGATCTGAGAACTCCAAAATCATCCAGGCTATATGTGCACTGTTAAACTCTGGAGGGGGCGTGATCAAAGCAGAGATAGATGATAAAACCTATAGTTACCGATGCCATGGGCTGGGACAGGATTTGGAAACTTCTTTTCAAAAGCTCTTTCCTTCAGGCTCACAGAAATACCTTGACTACATGCAGCAGGGGCACAATCTCCTGATTTTTGTGAAGTCATGGAGCCCAGATGTTTTCAGCCTCCCACTAAGGATTTGCAGTGTGCGCTCCAATGTATATATGAGAGATGTCACTTCCGCTATCAACTTGAGTGCCACCAGTGCTCTGGAGCTTCTCAGAGAGAAGGAGTCTAGACGCCAAAGAGCAAGGCCAAGGGTGAAGGAGCTGCAGCCTTGGCAAGTTCTCCACAGAAACATTCAGGAAGAGGAAGACATGAAGACGTCTGCCTCAGAATTTTTTAAAAGGGACAAACTCACGTATAAGGAGAAACTCAACTTTACTGAGTCAACACACGTTGAATTTAAAAGGTTCACCACCAAAAAGGTTGTACCTCGGATTAAAGAAATGCTGCCTCATTATATTTCTGCATTTGCCAACACTCAAGGGGGCTACCTAATCATCGGGGTAGATGATAAGAGCAAAGAAGTGTTTGGATGTAAGAGGGAAAAAGTGAACCCTGATTTATTAAAAAAAGAAATAGAAAACTGCATAGAAAAATTGCCTACATTCCATTTCTGCCATAAGAAGCCAAAGGTGAATTTCACTACCAAAATCTTAAATGTGTACCAGAAAGATGTCCTGTATGGTTATGTCTGTGTGGTTCAAGTGGAGCCTTTCTGTTGTGTAGTGTTCGCACAGGCCCCAGATTCCTGGATCATGAAAGACAATTCTGTCACAAGGCTGACAGCTGAGCAGTGGGTGGTCATGATGCTGGATATTCAGTCAGGTAAGGAGAGAGTGACGTCATTACCCGGTCAGCAGGTAGGAGCCCCCTTCTCTCCCTTTTGTGGGTATTCGATCATATATTTAGTTAAAAGAATAGAAATTTGGTTTTGCTTACAAATGTTCTCCCATTACAAGGCTCTTTTCTAATATCTTTACTTCCAACCACTCAGAATAGGAACTTTTTGAGGTCAAAAACATGTTTGGATTTCAGTCTTATTTTGAGAGGCCAAGGTGAGAGGATTGCTTGAGGCCAGGAGTTCAAGATCAGCCTGGGCAATTGTGAGGACCACTCTCCACCCCTATCCACCCCCCACACACACTGCGTCTCTACAAAAAATAAGAAAAACTAGCTGTGCGTGGCAGTGCATGCCTGTAGTCCCAGCTACTTGGGAGGCTGAGGCAGGAGGATCATGTGAGCTCAGGAGTTTGAGGTTGCTGTGAGCTAGGCTGACTCCGCTGCACTCTGGCCCAGGCGGCGGAGTGAGACTTTGTCTAAAAAAAAAAAAACCACAAAAAAACATATTTCAGAGAAACATTGTTTCAGAATGACTCTACATTAATTCTTTCAATAGAAACATTGTTGACAAACCTTAGAAGCTAATACCTGAACCACCTGGCTTGGGGCGCCACCCAGTGGGGAGAAAATGATGCAAAAGGAGATGTTGGGGCAGGGAGGAGGACGTCTGGTGTTTTCTTTTTTTTTAAGTTTAAGCTTTTTTTTAAATTTTATTTTAGCGTATTATGGGTGTACAAGTGTTAAGGTTACATATACTTCCCATGCCCCCCTCCCCCCTCGAGTAAGAGCTTCAAGCGTGTCCATCCCCCAAACGTTGCACATCTTACTCATTGTGGTAGTATATACCCATCCCCTCCTTCCTCCTGCCCCCCTCCTGACACCCAATAAATGTTACTCCTATATGTCCACTTAGGTGTTGATCCGTTAGTACCAATTTGCTGGTGAGTACATGTGGTGCTGGTTTTTCCATTCTTGAGATACTTAGTAGAATGGTGTTTTCATTTCCCTTGCAGTTTTGCTTGGAATTAGCCTTGGTGATTTCTAATGAATCCATAAAGGACATACAGGCTGAACTAAGCTTATCAACTTGCCTTCATGGTCAGTATGGTCCAAATTTGATAAAAGAAGCTTGGATCAAGACTTGAGAGATTAGAGAATTTTATTGGATCATTCTTTTCTTGCCTTAAATTTGTTTGAGTTCTCTCCTCTCTCTCTCTTTCCCTCTCCCCCCACCAGATTAGAGATCCTGCCACTTTTGATTCCAGCTAACCTTGGATGGGGACTTAAACAACAATCATTAACAGTATATACAAAAATAAAACACTGAGCTTCACCTTGGATGGTGCAATTTTTTCTTAGAGATAGCCTGGAATCAGACTATGAAAGTTGAAAGGAATTTGAGAGATGGTTACCATTGTATGAGAGAGAGGTGAAATGACTTGCCCAAGCTGAGTCACACAGTGACTTGGAATATGCACAGCGTGACCCCCTGCAGGAGTTCCCAGCCTTCCTCTTCTGACATATGTGTGTGAACTATTTGCGCCATAGTAAATGTGACAGCAACTCAGACACCTTGCACACACAGGAAGGAAGAGCAACAAAAGTGTTCTTTTACCTTTTATTTTTTGTCTGAAACAACTTTCCATGTAATTGTTTAGCTCCTTCCGGTTTGGACATGCACTACAGCTCTCAACTGATTTCAGCAGCTTCATCTGCACCAAGCAGCCCAGGATATCCCGTAAAAGTCCTGGAATTTAAGGAGGCTCTGCAGCAACATTTGTTTCCAGGTATTTCCTCTTGATTTCAGCTGAGCAGAGTATTTATTTTCTAAAATTATGTTGGGAGGTACTGGTAGCAATTAGTTCAAGTCTTTCTCCTTAGAGAAGGTCAAATGTAGAACTTAGCAGACATAATGGTCCTGAAATAATATACGTGTCTGAATCTTTGTTTCTTAGTCATTGGATCCCCACTATGTTTTTGTGCGCTTTTGAGCTTCCAATCACTTATGGCTTTAGTTTTCCAAATTTTAGAGTGCTGAGTTTTCAATGCAGAAGGAGCCATTGGGTCACCTGAACTCTTTCTGAAGTGGGTTTTCTCAACCTTGGTGCTATTGACATTTGGGTCAGATAATTCTGTTTGGGGGGGGGTCCCCTGTGAATTGTAGGATGTTTAGTAGCACTCTTGGTTTCTACCCACTAGATGCCAGTAGCAACCTTCCAGTGGTGACAATCAAAAATTCTCCAGACATTGCCAAATGTCCCCAGGATTGAGGGGGAATGGGGGGGTTGCTGCTAGTTAAGGACTACTGTTCTAAACGAAAGCCTTTAGTTTCCCCAAAGCATCAGGTTCATAGAAATACCCCTAGCCAGAAGGAGTAGTAGTAGACCAGTAGTAGCAGTAGTAGACCATCTGGGGCTGCGGAGAAAGTGCCAGAAGGCTGTTCTATGAAGACCCCTCCCTGATAGCTTTCTCCTATACTACAGCTGCCAGAAATGGGAATGTCTGATTATAGTCCAGGGCTGTGAAGAGAGGGTGCTTTCTTTGCAAACAAGGAAACCCATAGTTCAGTGGCCAGAATAATTTCTTCCTGCAATGTTGCAGGAATACTTACCTTATACTTTGTTAGGTGTTGGTAACTTCTACTCCTTGAATTTTCAGTGACACAGGAAGAGTTACATTTTAAACCAGAGTCCCTCTGTCAGAAGCTATTCTCAGATCATGAAGGACTGGAGGAATTAATGAAGACACAGATACATCCCTGTTCTCAGGGGATTGTGATATTTTCTAGAAGCTGGGCTGGTGATGTTGGCTTAAGGGAAGAACAGAACATCCTGTGCGACGCTCTCCTAGTAGCAGTTAACAGCCCCCTGGTTCTCTATACAATCTTGATAGACCCCAGTTGGCTTGGAGGACTTGACTATGCCCAAAACACTGCTCGTCAGTTAAAGCGGAAACTGCAAACTGTTGGTGGTTACACAGGAAAAGTGTGCATCATTCCAAAGCTGATCCACCTGACCAGTGCACAGTGCAGGCCTGGTGAGATCCCTGTGCACTACCCCCAATCCTACAGACTTGCAGATGAGGATGAAATGGAAGGCCTGTTGCAGGCCCTTGTGGTGGTCTCCCTGTGCTCCAGATCTCTCCTGAGTGACCAGCTGGGCTGTGAATTTTTCAACTTGCTCATAGCAGAGCAGAGCGCGTTGCTTTCTGAGAGCCTCCAGGAGACGCGGGAATTGTTCATCCACTGCTTTCCGGGAACCAGGAAGACAGCCCTAGCCATAAAAATCATGGAGAAAATTAAGGATTCGTTCCACTGCAAACCAAAAGAGATCCTCTATGTTTGTGAAAGCGACTCCCTAAAGGATTTCGTGATGTAAGAGTTTTATCAGCTAAACACGTACAAAAATTTAGTCAGTCTTTTCAACTGTGTCATAAAAGTGATTTGTGTTTTTAGTTTAAGTTTTTCCAATGCCTTAGCTGCATAAGTGCAAGAGTACAAACTATATACAAATTTCCAAATGATCAGGGAGTTGAACTACAAAAGAAAATATATAATGTTTCAATTTAAACATCTCATTATAAATAAGCCAAATATGCATAACTTAATTTTTAAAATTTAATTTAATTTTTTTAGAAACAGGATCTCACTCTGTCAACCCAGGCTAGAGTGCAGTGGTGCAATCATAGCTTACTGTAATATCGAACTCCTGGGCTCAAGTGATCTTCCTGCCTCAGCCTCCTAAGTAGCTGGGACTACAGGTGCACACTACATGCCCAGCTGATTTTTAAATTTTTTGTAGAGAAAGAGTCTGTTGCCCAGGCTGGTCTTAAACTCCTGGACTCAAGCAATCCTCCTGCTTCAGCCTCTCAAAGCGTTGGGATTACAGCCATGAGCCACTGTGCCTGGCCCTAATTTAAATTTATAGAACTAGAAACATTTTTTGTTTCACAATCTGTGGCCTTAAATTTAAGAAAAGTACAAATGAACCTATTTTGTTTTAAATATGCTTTTTGCATGATACTTAAAGTCATAGGATATTTCTGTTAGACACCGTACCTAGAGGAACTTAAAATTAAATACAATCTGATTTTGTTTATAAAATATTTTCATTTTTTGACTTGTTCTGCATCAGTAATTTTAGAAAATATGCAAGTTTGCTTCTGATTTAAAGCTCTAGCTTTCAATTTAGTAAAATAAATTGGTCATTATATAATTCAGGAAATGAGGGCAAAATCATTTTGGTTTTGGTTTGGTTTACTTGTTCAATGAATCTTTTTTTATAGTTTCAAAGAATTATTTCAAAATATTAATTAAGGGAGTATAAGTGTTTGTGACATGGATATTTTGTATAATGCTTAAATCAGGGCTTTTGGTGTGCCTATCACCAGAATAGTGTTCATTGTACCCAACAGGTAAGTTTTTATCCAACACCCTCCCATCCTCCCCCTCCTTCTTTGTTTCTCACGTCCTTTATATAGCTTATAGAGATATAGGAATCTTATCGAGCACTGTTTATACGCTAGCTAGACACTGCGCTACATTTAGTGTTAGAGGAGAAAACATATTGAAGACCATACCATAAAAAAAATGTGAGTGCTGTATAATTAATATAATAATAAAGATACAGTTATTTTAACTTAGGCTGGAGATTGGTCCAGTAAATACCCCCCAGTGAAGGAGACCCTGGGGCACACTCCTAATAAGTCGGTAGGAGAAGTCAATAAAATGAGGAGGGCTTTCTAGGCAAAAAGCATAGCAAGTCCAAAGCCATGGAGACACTAGACCAGAATGGTAGGTCTGACTGGAGCAGTGACAGGGTGTGGGTGCAAGCAGCTGGTGACCCTGGAAAGGAGGCAAAGGATCCTAGGGACTCTGCTAAGGACTACATTCTCTATTCACCTTTACAGCTAAGTTTAAAAATATCCCAGGCAAAAGGCTAATTCAACAAATATCTTTTGAACTCCTAATGTGAGGGGAACACAAAGATGGCTAAGAACCAGTGCTTTTCTTCAAGAGTCCACACAGTCCAAACGGGAAGAGAAGTACATAAATAGTTACGATTCAAGGCTTAGGGAGTAAAGTCCCAGGGCGACATATGTAAAATCAGGAAATCTGTAGGAATTACTCGGATCCACATTAGAGGACGCAAGAAATAACCACAGTTGTTAAGAAAAGAATATATGGCCAGGCATGGTGGCTCATACCTGTAATCCCAGCACTTTGGGAGGCTGAGTTGGCAAGATCACTTGAGGCCAGGAGTTTGAGACCACCGTGGGCAATATAGTGAGATCTTGTCTCTAAAAAAAAAAGAAAGAAAAAGAATACACACATGCTAAAACATGCTATTAGGGAAATTGTTCTATGTAAATACAGTAGTTCCAGAGAAACATAGCCCTATAGATTTGTTTTCCTACTTCACATGTCATGGAACTCAGCAACTTCTTGATGTTTCCCTTACCAAAACCTAACCTAAAGAAGCTTTAGGTTTTATACTACATATAAGTGGGGAAATAGAATTTGATTTAGAGAAACTTGAATTAGCCCATATCTCTTTTGCATATAAAAATTATGATATGCCTCTTGGTGACTGTTATCCAGCTCTAAAAAAGACAGAAAGTAAAGAATTAGTAGTAACAAGTGTAATTTACTTTTGAGATTTCCTTTCCTCTGTTTTGCCTCAAGAGCCATTAAAACTGTAAGTTACTTTTGAGATTTCCTTTAGGATGTAAAGAGCTTGTCTTCAAGGATGATCAAGCAACAGAAATGGACTATTAATAGAAATAATAAAATCTCCTGCCTGGTTTCACTTAAAAAGTTTCAACACACAGATTTAACTAGATAACCCCAAAAAGAAGGGTTGTAAATGTATGCATTCTGTCTGTCAGGTAACTTGTAAGTAGACCAGTTTTGTGGTATTCACAAGACTTTTGAATCAATGAATCAGCCTGCCGATGAGAATTAGCCTCTGATTCCAATCCAGAGAGTAATGGGTGCTGGTGTTCCTTTTGTTAATATGCCTGAAACCCTGTTCTCACTTTCATCCTTACAGCCAACAAACCACCTGCCAAGCTGTGACCCGGAAAAACTTCATGCAAGGGGAGTTTCTAAAGACCAAACACATAGTGATGGATGAGACTGAGAATTTCTGCAGTAAATACGGTGATTGGTACATGAAGGCTAAGAACATCACCCATCCAAAGGTGAGAGGGGCTGGAAGTGAAAACCTTCACCATGGGGTTCTCTGGATTTTTCTGGACCCTTTCCAAGTCCATCATGCAGATGTCAGTGGTCTTCCCCCTCCATCTGCTCAGTTTCCTCGAAAAACAATCACCAATGGGATCCACTGTGCTCTGGAGATAGCAAAGGTCATGAAAGAAGAAATGAAGAGAATCAAAGAAAATCCTCCCTCCAACTTGTCCCCAGACACATTGGCGTTGTTCAGGGAAGCTGCCTATGAGGAGGCAATGTGTGCCCAGGCTCTGCCTGGGGTGTGTGAGACAAAGACTAACCTGACAACAGAACAAATAGCGAATTATGTGGCAGAAAGATGTCACAACTTCTTCCAGCGTGGCTATCTGCCCAAAGACATAGCAATTCTATGCAGGAGAGGAGAGGACAGAGGACGCTATAAGCTTGCACTGCTAAAAGCAATGGGATTAATTGAGACCCAAGGAACAGCAGAGGTTGTGTTCAGCCACGCCACTGGTGTTTGCGGCAGTCGCATCATTCTAGATGGTATTCAGCAGTTTTCAGGCCTGGAGAGGAATATCGTGTTTGGGATCAGTCCAGAATGTGCCCAGTCAGAGGAATTTCCTAAGCTCTGCTTTGCCTCGAGAGCCATTAAACACCTTTACCTGCTTTATGAAAGGAGGGTAGCCTTCTGAAAATTATTACAAATAGGGTAGGAAGCTAGGAAGAGCAGAGTCCATTCACCCAGATGGGTGATACAGCCACTCCTTTTTAATATTACATGTAAGGAAATCAAGGCACATCAGTATGGCCTGGAGCCACAGAAGTGACTCTTGGAGCTGACACTTCCACTCTATTTGCAGTGCCACTGTCCTTTTCCTAGTCCTCTCCACCTCCTCCCTGGCCATTACAACAGACTTCTAACTGGTCCCCTGCCTCCAGCTTTCCTAGCTCAATCCAGCTGTTGTCCTGTCAACCAGAGAGAGTCTCCTCAAATAGAGAACTGATTTTATAAAATCCTCTGCTAATATACCTTCAGTGAGCCCCTACAGCTTCAAACCAAACCAATTTTCAAACCTTTCCATGGTGCACCTGATTTACTCTCCTAACCACACCCTTTATTATATACCTCCATCTCCCAGGTTTTCCAATGCACCCCAGCCTCACTGGCCTATTTTGGGGTGGTGACAGTGCACCTCAGACTAGTTATTTTGACTGGGTGTCTCAGGGCAACAGCTTAACTGGCCCCTCATGCTGGCTGCGGGTCTTGAGCTTCACAGGTCCAGAACTCTTTGCACCAAGTATAGATCAGTCTCCTGAGGATGCTTTATGCCAACCAAGCTCACAAAGAACCAGTGCATAAGTGAAAATCACACTCTGTTAATTTACAGTGAAGACTGTAATCACAAGTGGGTCAGGTGCTTTTGCTAATCAGTGCATTCAGCAGTAACATAGGAAGGTGAATTATATGAGCTTAGCCTTGCAGGAAGGGAAGCTGGTAATCTGATTCAAATTTTAGACATCTTCAGGCTATAATAGACTATTACAATATCTATAAAATAAGGTTGCAATCATTTCTAAAATGAAATTTTTCCATCACAAGGACTAGACAGGTCAGGTTTCACAAGCTAAGGCAAATTTTGAATACTAAGGATGACTAGTTGTTCAATATTATCTGCCCCAGGTGAAGTTTTGTTGTTGTTTTTGTTTTTGTTTTTTTGAGACAGAGTCTTGCTCCATCATTCCCTGGGGTTTTGCTCTTGCTCAGGCTGGTCTCGAACTCCTGAGCTCAAGCAATCCTCCTATCTCAGCCTCCCAGAGTGCCAGGATTACAGGCATGAGCCACTGCACCCAGTCTCTTTCCTAGTTTCTAAAGTTTCCAGGTTGGCCACCAACCTTCCACTCGTTCCCCACAACATGTATATATGTTGTTCACATTCATTTTTTATATATGTGAGTACACTCAACTAGGCTAGATACTCCTTACACTCTGCTACTGGCCTGGAAAGTAGTTTGTCTTTAAGGAGCCTTTGCACATCCCTGATCTCTTCCATTATGACTTGGTGTTAATTTTACAGTCCAACTCTCAGAGTTTATGGGGAGCATGGGTGGCCACTTTACCACCTATGCCACCCACACATGTCCCTGGCTCCTGGCCTGTGCCTATGCCATTTTCTTAGTCTTCTGTCCCCTCCGCCTCTGAGATCTTTACTCATCAACCAAATCCTTGTTCAAATACCCACGTCCTTAATTAAACTTTCACCATCCTCCTACGTGAAACTTAGTCTCTCCTTTTTTGGCCATTCTATGACTTAAAAAAAAAAACATATTGATGATAGCACCAAACTCTTTCCAAATTATGCCAGAGAAGTAGTTGTTGCCCTAGCAGAATCCATGCAATGTCTCCCTCTCACATTTCCTTTTCAATGTGTGTGACATATATTAGAAATAAGATCAAAGTTCCTGCTCTCTAGTCAGCTCCCAAAATGGCTGAGCCAGTCCTGTGCTTGTCAATACAATCTTGCCTTTGTAAGGATTTTTAAATTGCTTTGGGAATATACCTATTTCCAGACTGTTTTTAACTTCTAGAAAAGTTTAGGAGAACTTGATTGGGAAGACTTGAATCTGGGAAAACGTGTAGAATTTTTTGTTGTTGTTGTTCCTTTGTTTTAGAGACAGGGTCTCACTCTGTCTCCCATGCTGGAGTACAGTGGCGTCATCATAGCTCACTGTAACCTCAGGCTCCTCAGCTCAAGGGATCCTCCCACCTCAGCCTCCCATAGTGACAGTATTACTGGTGTGACCCACAATGCCTGGCTTATTCTTTTGGCTGTCATTTCAGATAAGGCCCCTCAGCCTTCCAAGAGGTGGGAGAGCAGACAGGGCTTGCAGAAGCTCTCTTAGCTGCCTCCTGAAGTGCTCAGGCTCACCAGAGGGGCCAGTCTGAACCCAGTGGCCAGCTACCTCCCCTGCCTCCCCCTGCTCTAATTACTTGGCACTTCGTTCATTTTACTTTTTCCTGGGGGCTTTCGGGTACTTTTTAGGGGGGTTTGGAAAAATTGAGTTTCGGCATTTATTTGGTTTTGCAAAGGTTCCCGTTGCTTTACCTTTCTGTTTTGGGAGGTTTTTTGATTTTTTTAAAATTAAGGGTTTAAATTTGGGTGGGGTTTGGGGTTTTGGGGGGGTTGGGCCAGGGACTTGTTTTTTTTTGTTTTTAGGCTTCATTGCCTTTTGCTTTTTTAACTTTTATGCATGCATTATATAATTTCTTTTTCTTTCTTTCTTTTTTTTTTTTTTTTTTTTTTTTTTTTGGAGACATGGTCTTGCTCTGTTGCCTGAGCTAGAGTACAGTGGTGTCATCATAGTTCTTCACTGCAACCTCAAATATCTAGGGCTCAAGTGATCCTCCCGCCTCAGCCTCCCAAAGTGCTAAGATTAGAGTTGCTCAGGTGCTAGGATTACAGGTGCTCAGTACTGAGTCACCATGCCTAGTCTATAATTTTTGATTAAATAATTGATTTGTAAAAGGATTGTTTTAAATATTGAATTTGAGAGTCTGTCAGTTCTCTGTCAAACAGCTCAATCAGTGTTAGAGCAGAAGGTCTAACTTGGTGATTCTCAACCCTGACTTCTCATTATAATCACATTGGAGCTTTAAAAATGGTCAGTTTTGAGGCCAGACACCAGACCAATGCAACCCCCATCTCTGGGCACAGGCTTGGGCATCAGCATTTATTAAAAGTTGTCTGGATGATTCTAATATGCTACCAGGGTAGAAACCAGTGGACCCTTCTCCTAGTCTGTTCTTTCTGCCCTCAAAAAATGTGTACACATTTCTCTTCCTGTTAGAATGGTCACTTACACATCTTTGTTTCCTGCATAGCAACTAGCACAGTGCCCATACATGGCAGGTATTCAGTGAATATTTGTCAAATTGTACTTGAAGCTTTTAGAAAATTGGAATCTCCTAGGCACAATGCTTCTAGAAAGTCAATAAAACAAATAATGGTAGAGCCTTCAAAGAAGTCAACATGGAGAATAATCTTCAACACTGCAATAACAAAGAATAAGAGAATAAAAGTAACTAAATTGATTGTAGGCAACAGGCAAAGTCAAAGATCTATGATGACAGTTCATTAGATTTGCCTTTGAGATTAGGAACTAGGGGGGACTAAGAATAGTTTACTAACTTGGTTGTACTTAGAATTCTACATTTTTTCACAGTTTCTGAATGTGATGGGTAAAATAATTAATTTAATGAAATAAATTAAGACAGTTGCCTGCTGTGAGAAGCTACTAAACTTACTTTTAAAAAGAAGGGTAATACTAATATTATCATGTAAGTTTGAAAAATGGAGAAAGGCAAAATAAAAAGTTCTTAAATCATCTTGTCATCTAGGCATAACATTTTTTTCATTTTTGCTTATTTATGTCTATTCTTCGTTGATATGAAAAATATTTTTACATAGTTATGACTGAGTTGTATAATTAACTTTTTAAAAAATTATTATTATTATATTTTTGAGACAGAGTCTCCCTCTGTCACCCAGGCTAGAGTGCAGTGGCATCATCATAGCTCACTGCAACCTCAGACTCCTGGGCTCAAGTGATTCTCCTGCATCAGTTTCCAGAGTAGCTACAGGCATGCGCTAATTTTTTAGTTTTTTGTAGACACAGGACTCACTGTTGCTCAGGATGATCTCGAATTCCTGACCTCAGGTGATCTTCCCACCTCGACCTCCCAGAGTGCTAGGACTACAGGCATAAGCCACCACTCCCAGCCTTAATTATATTTTTATTTCATAGATTTAAGAGGTAAGAGTTGAGTGTCATTATATGTACATATTATATAGTGGTGAAGTCTGGGCTTTTAGTGTACACACCACCCAAATAATGTATGTTGTACTCAATAGGTAATTTTTGCAGTCAACTTTATATCCTATCTGTATGCTTCTTCTATTTAACTTTTTTGTGAGGTATTGTTGTAGACTGTATTATTGTTCCCAATACTTTATCCCTCCATATACCTATATCCTTTGGAGTTCCTAACATTAGAGCTAGAGATATTTTCCCACCCCTTTGATGTGGGCTTGTCCATGTGACTTGGAATGTTAGCAGGTGTGATGTGCACAGAGGCTGTACATATACTTTCAGCATTAGTTTGTTCTCTTGGGTTTCTGCTATTATCATATGAAGAACATGCCCTGGATGCCCCACCAGTCACGGAGGAAAGAGAAGCATGTGAAGCCAACTTGAACTCAATCCATGGCCTGGAACCAAGTTCAATCAATCCCAACTAGATTGGCCAAAACCCTGCTGACCTGAAAATATATGAATGACAAATAAATGCTTATTATTTTATGACTGAGATTTCAAGGTTGTTTGATTCATGGCTGTAGATTCATTATGCAGACATTTCCCCATATTGTAGCATAGTCTTCAAATCATTTTAATGGTTATAACAATAACTTAGCCAGATCCTACAAAATTTCCCTAATCATTCTCTTATTATTTGTGTCACTAGCAATTTTACACTAATACAATTAAGCCTGGCACATACTTAGGCATACAACCTTTTGTCTTTCTGGCATATTTATATATACCTAGAGACAGGAACACTGGTTCAAAAGGGTAGCCTGGATGAAAGAATCCACTCATTCATATTAGTTCTGATGAGAAGTGCATAGAAAGCCCCCATCACCATACTTGATAACATACAGATTTGTTGTGTTAACTAAGAGAACAAAATGCTGACATCAGATTCTGATGACAAAAAAGAGGCATTGATATCTCACAAACAGGTGCCTCTGCAAGGGAGCACAGAGAGTAAAACCAGGGCTCATCACCCTAACCCAGAATCTCAGAGGATGAACTTCACTTGGATAATTACAGATGGGAACATGAACTATGTACCCTTGACATTATATAGGAAAAAAAAACCTCTGGCTACTTGAAACTGATGGAAGGTACTAACTCACAGGGAAAAAAAGATACCACTGACCACAGGACCTTTTGTGAAGAGAAACTCTGATATGGAGAAACCCATTTAAGAGAAGAGAAGAGAAGAAGGTATAAAGGTAAACTATTACAGATCTTCTATGAAGCTGAGCTGCCTCAGTTTCCCTAAGGTTTTGAGCAGGCTGAACATAAAATTATTTTCAAGAAGATTCAATTTGAAATAGGTACAAAGTTTATAATAACCATATTTACTGTTTATTGAGATCTTACTATTAATACAATCAGCTACTATTTGCTAAATGCTTTGCATACATTCTCACAACTCTATGAAATATATACACATTAACTCCACTTTATAGATAATAAAACAGGCCAGGCCCAGTGGCTCACACATGGAATCCCAGAGCTTTAGAAGGCTGAGGGGAGCAAAATCCCTTGGGGGCAGGAGTTTGAGACCAGCTTGGGCAATGTAGTGAGACTCCATCTCTGCAAACTTTTAAAAAACTAGCCAGATGTGATGCTTGTAGTCCTGTGCTTGCTTGTAGTCCTAACTCCTCAGGAGGCTGAGGCAAGAGGATTGCCTGAGGCCAGGAATTACAGTGAGCTATCATCATACCATTGCACTCCAGCTACTCCAGGCTACATAGTGAGAGCCTGTCTCTAAAAAAATAATAATAAAAAATAAAATAATAAAAAAAGATGATAAAGCCAAGGCACAGACAATTGAACTTTCTCAAAGTTACATATCTATTAAGTTGCCAAGCTTATTACGTATATCATATAAATAGAATTCTTGATCTGGTAACCCCAACTCTGAGAATATGTAAATACTCTGACAGTACTCCCCAGAGTATCTCACAGTACCCAGAGTAAACAAGAATATTCATGTTTGCTATCAACTCTCATCTCTAGAAAGTATTACCCTCCATTTTAAGTAAAAACAGCCAACTAGACTGTACTGTTTCCTATAATTAGCGTCTGTCAGTACTCACAGAGCCTCTTGATAATTTTGGGTAACCCTGAATTTCTTGGTCTGCAAAGCAAAGTATCAGCATCTGATGATATTCCTGACCCAAAGCCAGTCCCTCCTGACATGAACTGCCAGATCCCCTCTAGGGCTGCTGCATCTGAGCTTCTGCCATTGCAACCTCAGAGGCATTTCCTAGTGATTTAGAACATGGTGTCTCCATCTTCTTTCCTTTAAAATCTCTTGTAAATATATGTCTAACGTCAGAGGAGATGTTGCTGGTTATCAAATGAAATGGGCATTTAGAAAGTTCCAGCGACAGTGTTTTCCTTCTGAATCTATCTCACCCACAAGAGGAAGGAGGGGGCCTTAAGCTGCCCTCATTCAATATCTTCAATTAACAGAAGGTAAACATGATGTTGACATAAATGGGATCAGTTTTCAATTTTGTTTTTTTCTTTCATTCTGAACTTAGAATGGAAGTGAAGAATGAGAAATTAAGACATGGCCACTATGTGCATTCTCTTATTATTGTTTACTACTTCAGAATTATCTCAGGTCACTGGCAGTTAAAGTCTTTTGCCCTTGCTTTAATTAGGGAAGGCTGTCTTTGCCCAGTTGTACAGCTTCTAAGTGGCATGTGGTAGAGGAAGGAACAGTGAGAGAAGCAGATACTTCCTTTTTAGCCAGCCAGGTGTGACAAATAAACCCCACCAATCCATGACTAATACATCAAAATCCCTCTTACTAACATACATTAAGTGCTTACTATGTGTTAGACATGGTGCAAATTGTCTTAAATATATTATATCTTTTAACCTGCAGCCACCCTTTCAACTGTGTATAGCATCCCCATGTAAGGTAAGAAAAGGCAGTGTTAAGAGCTTGAGTCAGACCAACTCTGGCCTTGAATTCCAACCCTATTCTCAATTGGCTGGATGACCTTGGGCAAGTTACTTTACCCCATTAAGACTTAATTTTCTCAAATCCATAAAATAGAGATAAAATTCATACCTATGCCTTAAGATCAAGATGAGGATTGAAATAAACACTACATTTAAATAAAGCCTGGTAGGTAGAAAGCTCTCAATTTTTGGCCCTTATTAGCTTTAATTTACAGCCAAGGAAACTGTGACTTAAAAGGTAATATCTTCCCCAAGATCACAGAACTTATGAGTTCTGAACCTAGGAAGTGAACCCATGTCTGTCTGACTCCAAAGTCCATGTTAGCCTCTACATTATTGCGCCTTCCTGTATGTCAAAGACAAGGGCAGGAGTCTCCATGTTCCCAGTAATTCCTTTGATTTTAGGAAGAGACTAGAATTGGATACACTTACAATATTGATGGTATTAACCAACTTGGTAATTCTTAGCTTTTAAAATGTTTCCATAAAATCAATACTATTACTCAAATGACTTCCGATATATGAAATGTTCCGAGAAAAGCATTTTCTATACTAAGAAACTTTAAAAAGACACCTTTCATTACAAGGTCTATATAATGACATTACTGAAATATTAGAAAACAGAGAAGCACAAAAGAAAACTCATCCCTATTCTTACCATCACTTCACACAGTTGTTCTCACTTTTGCTTATTCATTTCCAGTGTTAGTCCATCAGCAGATATAGTTTAGCAGTGTTGTAATCATAGTGTACACTCCATTTTGTATCCTGTTTGGGTTGATAGTTCTGGTGACCTTCTTCCCACTGTGCAGTCTCCAGTACGGTATGTTAGGCATTTTCCACATTGCAGCCTAGAGAGAGGTGGTTCTCAGTGCCTCTGAGCTGGTACCCATGATTGTCAGTGCGGTAGAGTCTCCCTTGTTCCAATTAGTACAGCCTGACCTCATGCTTATAGAGAGGAGAGGAAGAGGAAGAGGATGATGGCAAGTAAAAGATGAAAAAGCTCTTCATCTAACTCTATAAAATATGGGGTAAGGTGGGGTGCAGCTATTCAGGGAATTCAGCAACAGAGTAACACACTTAGGACAGAAACATTTTTCCTCCCTCATTCCTGAACAGGTTACTGTGGGAAGCTGGTGTGGGCAATTGTGGCTGCTACCAGTGCCAGAACCCGGGAGGTCTAGACACCAAGGCCCTGTTTGCTCAAAGGTACTGAGGGATGGAAGAATATGCCACCCTCAAATATAACACTTTGGCATAAGGATAATTTTGAGCTAAAGGCACTTGAAAATGGCAGATGCAAGAAGGACATTCAAATCTATTTTTCTTCCTAAGAACAGGAGATGATAATCCCATGTGAAAGATGCTTTCTTTGTAACAGGAGGAAAAAAATATTCTTTGACAGGAGTAATAGCCAAGAGAATTCTGTACAGGCACACCTTGTTAAAATAGTTCTGACCTTCCTTTGCCTCCATACATAATTGAATTATTTTCCCACACTGGTCACTCTTTGTTCAACCTACCACATGAGCATTTAGGTTATGCCACTTCTTTAGGTCTTTATTTTCCTATAGGGGCTCCCAGGTACATGTAAAAGTCTTTATGTTTTTCTCTTGTTAATCTTTCATATGTGAATTTAATTTTCAGGCCCAGCCACATTCCCTAAGAGGGTAGAGGCAAAATGTTGCCTCCTGTACAGTTTCTGGTGATGAAGATGGGATCCCGAGAGGCTGGGAGCCCACTCACTCCAGAGCCTGTGGACAGCATCCTGGCAGAGCTGAGAAGTGTGGGCAGAAGGTGAGAATTCTTACCAAAGTCAGCTCTCCCGTTTCTCTGTCTGCAGTTCCCAGTAGAGAAAGGATGGCAAAATATTTTCCTTGTCCCTTCCTTTCCAAGTTCAGATTGGCAGGAAAGAAAATATTTGTAAGAATGAGTTTTTTTGAATCGTGATTCATGAATTTGGCCTGGGTATGATCCATGGCCTCCCAGGAGTAGTCCTTATTTCCTTTTCTCTGTCTTTTGTGTTGTTTGCCATGAGGAGGAAAACCATAAGATGAGATTCTTTACATCCTGAGAACTTGGCATTGTGAGCAGGGAGAATATTCTCGGTGGCTTCCACCCACCAGGGGGAGCAAGTGTTGGCTTCTATCAGGTGGCCACCAATCAGGCTGGGAGCCCAAGATAAAAAATGACCAGCAGCATTCTGTTTGTCCAACTGTGCCAGCTCTCAGGGAAACTCGTCTTAATAAGAGATCCCAGGCCATGAGGACCCTTTCTTGTGTCAATCTCCATTAACTTCAAAGTGCTAGAAACCCCTCATCCTGGTATTGCCCACCTGATGCCACAGATTAGTGGGTCTGTGGCTGGAGGCATCTCACATTCCTGTGGGAGAGACTCTGTTTTCACAAACACTATTCTTACTGTCTATAGCAAAAAGGGTCCTTGCTTTCTTAGACTAATTCTGGGAGTAAACTTTCTGGATCTTGGGAGGACTGCACCTTTTGCACCCTCTTGGGGGGCATCTCTTGCATCCATAGTTAAGCCAAGAAAGAGTTATTGGCTTTAAGTCATCAAAAGAGTATTGGTTTTGAGTCACAATTAAGGTAAGCATACGTTTGAAGATTTGGACTTTTAAATCTGAAATAACTTTTTGTAGAGAACTTTCATGCTAAACATATATTCCATTGTTACCTATGGAAAGATCAGATGTAAAGGAACAAATGAATAAGGCAAAGATAATAATCAACCTTTATATAAATTAGTAGATTTCATGTTTCTGTATTTATACCAAACTCATGGGCAAAACTTAAAGTGAAAACTATAAGATCTCTGTGCCAGGCATAGTGGCTCACATCTGTAATCCCAGCACTTTGGGAATCTAAGGTGGCAGGATTACTTGAGGCCAGGAGTTCAAGACTAGCCTGGGCATCATAGTGAGACCCCATCTCTACAAAAAAAAAAAATTTCAGGCCGGCATGGTGGCTCACGCCTGTAATCCTAGCACTTTGGGAGGCCGAGGCGGCAGATTGCTCAAGGTCAGGAGTTCGAAACAGCCTGAGCGAGAAACCCGTCTCTACCAAAAATAGAAATAAATTAATTGACCAACTAAAAATATATATACAAAAATAGCCGGGCATGGTGGCACATGCCTGTAGTCCAGCTACTCGGGAGGCTGAGGCAGTAGGATCGCTGAGCCCGAGATTGAGGTTGCTGTGAGCCAGGCTGACGCCACGGCACTCACTCTAGCCTGGCAACAAGTGAGACTTGTCTAAAAAAAAAAAAATTTCATTAAAAAAGATCTTGTATGTTCTGCCTACATATATGTTTTATGTATAAGCGATATTCCTCAATCTTGATGATATTGCACTGACACATGTTAATCCTGATTCAGCATGTCTGGGAGGGCCCTATAATTTGCATTTTAAAACTAATGCGGAAAGATCTGAGAAGCAGCCAAATTGGGAATGAATTATCTGGTACACGACGTCTCTAATTCAACTCCCTCTAGTGTACGACTCCTTTTTTCATAGCTAAAAATGATTGCTAAATCCACACTGTAACAATTTTTGCAGTCCACAGGGATGGCACCCAAAAGAAATGGAACAAGACACAAACAAGGATCCAGGGGAATGTGACTTGTGTGGGCGGTGGGGGAAAGCAGCAGATCAAAATGGTAAGTAGCAGAAACTGAGCAAAACTCCAGCAGTGGGTAGGGCATGGTACTTCAAACTGTAACCTAGCACTCTGGGAGGCTGAGGCAAGAGGATCGCCTTGAGATCAGGAGTTCAAGACCAATCTGAGCAAGAGTGAGACCCATCTCTAGTAAAAACAGAAAATTGAGCCGGCATCGTGGCACAAGCCTGTAGTCCAGATACTCGGGAGGCTGAGGGCAGAAGGATCATTGGAGCCCAGGATTTGAGGTTGCTATAAGCTAGAGTGAGTGCCATGGCACTCTACCTTGGCACAACAGAGTGAGACTCTGTTCAAAAAGAAAAACTATAAAAAGCCCTATAGCAATGATATTAGCAGCCAAATTAATACAGGGATTGCAGCAGGAATTTCAACTGGCTCCAACTACAGCTGTTGGGATCATAGAGGCCTACAGAAAAACTAAATGAGAAAGTCAGTGAGATGTGCTGTTTAATTCCCTATCTGGATTCCCACAAGTTTCTTTTTCTTTTTTGCTTAGCAACAAAATATTTCTTGGGTAATCAGTGTATTCGCACAAAGTAATAATTTCCCCCTTCGACTCCATCTCCTTCCCCTCCCCCAATCCAGTTCCCCAGAGAGTAATCATTAATAACAGTCTTACGTGCATCAAACAAATTTTTGTAGATTTGTTCTCAAAGTTTTTGAAGTAATTCTTCTGATAAACAGTTTATCTGATCTATGCTTCTGGTCTAACCTAGCCTTCACCCCATTTATTAAAGTGATGAATTCTCTTACAACAAGAAATGCCATCCTCTACCCCCAAGCCAGAAAGGTAGCATAAAGGGGAAGGAAGCACTTTAAGGAAGTTTCTGAAGAAACGAAACTTTCAAAAGGTGGAACATCTATTTCCCGTTTTCGAGAAAAAACAAAACCTGGCATTGATTTTTCACAGAGGGTCAGTATGTGACGAGCCATTTATGCCTCAGGCTGGCGACTCCCTGAAATAGATCCAGGCTTCCTGACTTTCTCTCAGCACAACCCCTGTGAGAATCTTTTAAAATTTCGCGCAAAGGTGAGTTACTGCTTTGCCTGGAGAAGACCCAAGCAACCTATTGTCGGTCAGAGAAGGATGCTCTCAGAAAGAGACGACAGAACTCTAAGATGAAACCACCCTGTGGCTGATAGCCTTCCAAGATATACCAACTTTAGGCAGGAAACCGGCTGAGTGGCATGTGGGAACATGGCTCTTTATAAATGAGTGACAGTGAGCAAGAGCTGCTATTAGAGGGACCACCTTGGTACTGAGGCCAGGGGTTTCAGGAAATCCAGGCCCAGGGATGAGAGACCTCTGAGAGAGACGGGTGGCAGCTCTCAGCACTTCTGGGGAAACAACCTTCAGGGAGGGGCAGAGAGACCACACCGCTTATTGCGGAGAGATGCTGTGAACGGGTCTTTATCAGTTATCCTGTTTGGTTCATTCTGTGAGAAGGGTTTCTTGTTTTCATCATGTACACCAGTTTTTGTTTCTCAGGAGAAATCTAGCTAATACTGACTGGAAGCTATGATCTACTGGAATCCTTTGAAGTTATTAAACTGGCAAGTGTTTGTTTGCAAAACGTACATTTGGTTATTTGTTTTACAACATTAATTCAAGCAGATACTTGCCAAAGCTGAAAGTGAACTTGCTCAAGTTTTCATGAGTTGCTTCCTCGACTCCTTTTGGAGATGGGGCTGCAGATGAACTGCAAGATAATGAACAATTCAGCAGGTGAGATGAAGAGACATGTTTGCCAGCTGTGTGATCAGGAAAAACTAACACCGTATTTTCCTAGTAACCTAAGCACAGGGCAACACCTGGATATTTCTAGTTAGCAACTGCCAATATCCTCCTTTTAACACTGTTGAATGTGTGCTTATTACTTTGCCTCACAAAGAAGAGAGCAATTAACTGAATGCCCGGATGCGTGTGTGAGCGACGCAGCACTGGAGACCGTGGCGCGCAGCGACTCGAGGTGGCGGGGGGGAGGGAGCGACGGACCAAGGCTTACTCGCGGTTCAGTGATGTAGATGTGACCATTACAGAGCGCTCTTCCCCGGCGGCGGGGTGCGGGCCGGGGGGTGCGGGCGTCCACTGGTGCGCTGGGACAGACACGCCGCTCTTGAGGACTTGGATCCTCGCTGTAGCGGGTCCCCTTCTTCTTCGTAGATAGTTTTTGTCACAGCCCTACGTCTCCATTCCAGCCCTCCCTTCCACGACCTCGCCCGGCCTTCCGGGCCTCGATCCCCTGCCTGCACACACGGGGGACACACACAGGCGCACACCGCCCGCCCCGCCTCCAGGACCGGCAGGCAGCAGGTGGACGCCCGGGAAGGGGTTGGTGCGGCGGGAGGGGGGACGCCCTGGGAGATGCTCTAGAAGCCCAGCCAGGAAGAGGGCGGACCGGAAGGGGGCGGGGCGGCGCGGTCGCAATGCGCGTGGCGGGGTCGTTTGTGGTGTGTGAGGTGCTGGTGTGATGTGCGCGTGAGTGTGAAGGTGTGTGCGTGTGGTGAGATGTACGTAGTGTGTGTGAGCTGTGTGTGTTATGGCGTTTCAAGACGTGTATGTGATTGTGTATGTTGCGCGTGTGTGTGTGAGATATTTTGCGATGTCTCCCAGGTGTGTGAACACGCAGCGTGTGTGAACCTGAGGACTGTATAAGAACGTGGTGGGAGGGTTGTTGAGAGGTGTGTTAACGCTGTGTTTTGAGACCTGATGTTAACGCCTCGGCTTTCTCGAATTAAGAAATGCCCTCCCTTGTTACTATTTCTGCAAATATGCCCTTGTTTCTCTTAGAATTATTTGAAACGCTAACAAACAACTTTTGCTTGGGTAATTTTGAGCTTCTGTTAATATTTCATGTGATCATTTTAGTTAATTAAGTTTTCTTGTATTGTACCATCTTGATTTTGATAACGCAACATGAGTGAATGCCGTAGTTACTTTGGTGCGTTTTATAAGAGCAATAAGAATACGCTTAAATAAGTACGAGATAATATAAGCAAACAGTTGTTACTCCAATTTGTTTCCCACAATTATTTCCAAATTGACAGCTGTTGGCATTTTGACCCATATTTACTAAACCCTTTCTTAAATGTCTCAAAGAAACAAAACTTGTAGAGTAAATTTGAAGTTCTCACTTGCCCCATGTACATTGCCATTTCCATTTTTGTTCCTTTCCTGGGGGGCCTGCCAATATCCTGAATTTATTGTATATAGCTTTTACAGACCTTTTTATTAACACACGTTTTCATAACACATATCCAGCAGATACGATGATCCCAAATTCTTGGTGTGCACGATGTTTACTGTTTATATAAATGGTATATCTATAATATCACTGCTATAACTTTAATTGTTTTACTCTACATTTTGTTTCTGATATCTATGTCTACTGAGTTGTGTTGTTTTTCTCTAATGCTGTTCATAGTGTGCCCTTTAAATATATTACCACATGTATTTTCCATTCCATTATGCAACCCGCTATTTCCAAGATTGGTGTTTCCAACACTGCTAAAATGATCATTCTCGTCTCTTGTCAACATCATTTTTTTACAGGTATAACCAAAAATGTGGCATTGATGGGTTAGAGGTCCTATATGTTTTAGTTTTACTACACAACCCACATTCCTCTCCACAGTGTTGCACTAGCTTCAACAGCTGCCAATAATGAACAAGAGTTCCAGTTTTCTCCATCTTGACAACACTTCATATTTCAGGCTTACAGGTGTTTCTTATGCCTAAAGGGAACCAAAAGTATCCCATCTTTGTTGCTTTACATTTCTCCAATTACTCCCGAGGCTAAGCCTTCTTGCTCCCTCCCTGTCACTGTTGTTTTGGTCAACTTGTGTCTCTCTTACTGTAATATCTATCATTTTTTCTCATATCCTACTTGGTTGTTCCTTTTCCAACTTCTGATACAATTCTTTCATTGTGTTGTCACAAATATAAGGCTTTTAGGCCTGTACTTGTCTCTTAAAACACTTTTGTTATTTTGAAATAATTATACATTAACAGGAAGTTTTAAGATGAATAGAGAGAGGTTCATGTACGTCCACCCAGGTTTTTTTCCCCCATAGTTTACACTTTACATAATTACAATCTACAACCACCAAAACCAGGAAATTGACATTGGTGCAATCATAGTTCTACTGTATCACCTTGTGTCCCACCACTCACAATCAAACAGAGAAATATCCCATCACACCAGAGATCGTTCCTGCTATCCTTTACTGTTACAACCTGCTATCGCTGCCCCCACCATCCTAACACCTTGGCAACCACTTATGTGTAATTCTCCTCTCTTATTTTGTTAATTTCTTTATTGTTTGTCTTTATTTTTTAACTTTTTATTTTTTATTAGTATAAATCATTGAGGATGCAGAATAATTTTATAATTTTCAAGAATGATATATATACATAGAATCATACAGTGTTGATGTTTGAGATTGACTCTTTTTAACACAGCATCAGATTAAAATGTGACAGAGACTTGACAGGAGCCATAATACTTATTCCTGACCGCCACTGTGTAGTTGCCCCTGACTACAGGTTGAATTTGCTGATGCTCAGGCCAGAAACTGCCTGCTGCTGTTTACGAAATTTAGGCTGACAATCGAACTATTCAAAAACTCTTTTTTGGGGGGGGAGGTGGGTAGGATCTCGCTTTGTTTGCACTGAGTGAGAGATCAGCTGGCCGTGCCACCTTCAGGCAGCCAACAAACAAATGAAAATCTTAACCTTCTTAATTAACAAATAATGGTTTTCCTTTTTTCAAGTTTCTTTTCCTCTGAACACTGTATTATTCCTGTTTATTTTGTGTTCCTTGTGATCTAGTCTTCTTTCCAATTCTTAAATTGTTTTTTATTCTTACATTTGATACAAATCACTCCTACTTGTGTTTTTTTCTAACCAATCTGGGTATTTAGTGCTATGGATTTCTCCACATATGACAGCTCGTCATGGTAATTTGACATGACATAAACCATAACCGCTTGCAGGTAGATGATCACTGTACTGGGGTTCCATTGGTGAGTGTCACTGAATGTTTATACTGCACTGAAAAGTCAAAGATGAACAGGTTTTCATGGCCATGCTTGCATGTATAATCCAAGCAAGAGAGAAAACCAACAAGTGCAGCTTACAGTGCAATCCTGAGTTTCTAGAGGCCTCCTTCTCAAACCATGGGTCTGTGAGTCTATTGATTTGCTTGACTGCTACCAAATACAAAGTTTCTTTGAAATCATAAAGATGTCATCGATGCCTTCTTTCTCTCCATTTGTCATATCAAACTTCCTGCCCTGGCCGTCTTTCATTTCCCCTATCACCTGAGAATGTAATATTCAACGTTTTAACTACCTTTTCCATCCAATGTTCTAAATTCTGTACCCACTCCCATACCTTTTCAATTTTTTTTATGTTATGAACTATTTCAAACTTAAGAGAAAAAGAGGACAATGTAATGAACACTAATGTGTCCTACCCACTCCAATATAAGGAGAGGTCATTTTTAATAACCTACCTGTGAATCTTCTGCCAAATATGAACAAAGTAAGAGATGTTGTGAATCCAATGACCCTTACCCACTTCAATGATCACAGATCTCTTGCCATACAGAGGTGGACAACCCACTCAGCTGCCCTAGCCAACAAACCATGTTAACTTAAGTTTAGTCCTTTTCCTATTCTAATCTGCCAATC